ACTCTTGCATACACCTGCCTTATGCAGTTCACACTCCAAGTGTGACTGTGGGAGGATCCACAGGGCCTTAGCAAAGAAAGAGCAGCAAGTCAGGTAAGTTCAATCTTGCCTTCTTGAAAAGAATGTGACGACAGATTATTTATGTCCTTATGGAGATCTATCCTGATTTGGCCAAGATCTAGTTGAGGAAGAGGCAGTTCAGTAAAGAGAGGGGATATCCCATTTCCCTTGCAGTGACAGATCACTTGCCTCCTGAGGTTTGGACTCTTGGCTTCATGCTGTGCCTGAGAGCTTCCTAGGGTATGGAGACTCCCCCACCATGGTGCGTGCCCGATGAGCTGGACTGTTGGACTGCAACTCCAACCCTTCCAAGTCTCCATGGCCAATGGCTGGTCTGGCTGGGAACTGTAGGGGGTGCCACTCAAAATATCTGGAAGACACCCAGTTGGCAAAGACTGTGCATTGTTTAGAGCACCAGAATACAAGTAGGCAGACCCAAATTCCAATCCCCTCATGAGCTGGAAACCCTCTTTCAGCCTAACACGTCTTCCAACATTGTTTGAGACTACAAGGAGCAGCAGAAAGAACTGTGTACACTACCATGAGCAAAAAAAAGGAGTAGGATATAAATGTAACACGCATTGAAATCTACTAGTCATGGTATATAGAGCTCTGTAGTAGACCATTGTTATCTCATCCAGCAAGGTTCTCATGGTTCACATGAGAAGCTTGATTAAACCCCAAGCAGTGCTTTCTTTTCTTTTTTAGGTTTGCATCTATCATAGAATAATAAAATCACAGAACAGGAGGGTCAGAAGGGGCCAAGAAGGCCATTGGGTCCAACCCCTGCTGGTGTAGGATACCAGTTACAGCATCCCACTCAGATAACTGTCTATTTTCTTCTTGAACATCTTCAGTGTGGAAGAGCACACAACTTCTCTTGGCATCTGGTTCCACTGCCGTCCTTTTGAGGATGTTCATTTTAGAAGGGTAGATGGATATTTGAAGATCACTCCATACAAAGGGTCCTCTTCCCTTGCCCAGTGTGTCCTGTCGCTCTTGCTTCTTCTTGTCTTATTGTAAATGGTGAGCCATAAGAGATAGGACATGTTATTGTAGCTAAGTGTCGATGCCAGGCAGGAGGGTCCAAAGCCTCCGATGCTTCTGGCTATTTGGAAACCAAGGGTGGAAGCAGATGTCCCTGGCTGCTTGGATACAGCTGACGCAAACAATATGTACTTAACCATCTGTTGATTTTTAAGTGACATTTTAAGATCAACATATGGGGTGGGTTTATTTTTAGAGCAGCATCCCAGAAATGAGCTATCTATCCTGTATGAAGCATGGTATCCAATGCCGCTGTGTTTTCAGTGCTGACAAAGAGAGTTTCTGCGATGCATCATGCTAGTTTTACCTTTCCTCTTTTGGCCAAACTGGGCATATTTCTTCACACAGCACCTGATCAAACTATGGAATTTAATAGTACAAGATGCAGTCCTCTTTGTTGGTTTCCCACAGGAAGCTATTTGGTCACTGTGTGAACAGAATATCAGATTAGGAGGACTTTGGGTCTCATTCAGCATGTTGTTATGATATATAAGAGCCATTCATGACAGAAAACCTTGGATCATTTTGGCAACAAGCAGGGGAGAAGCTGAACTCCTCCAGATCTTGCTGGACTCCAGCAGCCAATCAGCCACCATTGGGTTGTGCGTGACCTGTCAGATGCTGGAGTGTCAGTGTTGCTTTTCCCACCCCATGGTGTGCTGTGCAGGAGCTGAGATGGAGTGATCCTTTGCAGAGTTGCCTTCCCCTCCATGAATTTCCTTCCAGAGTCACTTGCTTCACCAAAGACTTGTGCTTAGCCTTCGAAGCCAAAGTTGTTAGTCAGAAAATGAAATATGAAACATGGCAGCTGGAACACATGATGAGTTGAGGGTCTACCAGTGATGTATTGGTCAGTGCTGAAGTGCAGGCAGTCATCACAAGTCTCCATACCTATGTTCCCAAAGACAACCGAAAATGAAGGTAGCTATATGGATTTGTATCTAAGGGTGCATATATCATATGTAGGTACACGCAAACACTCACATGAGGGCACGCGTGAGCATACATATGCTGTTGGGGGAGAGACTCCTGCTCTCGCAGCTGTTGTGAAGGTTGCAACTAACTCAGAGGAAACAAGAAATTCTGAAGGGAGTGGCAAATGATCTCATAACTGCTACTAGTCAAAACATCACAGCACTTCAACTCTGTGAACCCTGGCTCTACTACACCATAGTGGAAAGAAAAGGATAGAAGAGTGGAGAAAAATATATACTGTCTTAAACAATGTATATCTTTTCCTACTTGCATTACTTATTTAGTGTTTCTGCATTTACTGGTTTTAAATAGTTACATTCGACCTGTAAGGGCCAGAAAGCCCACTCAAGATGGTTCACACAATGCAATCATAATAAAATCACATAAATGTAATGTCAAATCAGTATAAGAACCATAAAACCTTACAATCTAAAGAAACAGTAAAAAAGGCAACCAGCATAAAAATACTTTAGGAACTTGGGTGTGTTTCTAGTGAATTAGTAAACAGCCAGGTCTCTGGGCTCTGTTCAAACAAACATGCTTCTTCTTAAGCAAAGCCAGTTGTGGAGCACAGTGAACATGAAGGGATTGGATTAAAATTTTGCCTTCTTAAGAGGAAGGAACCCCTCCTGCATGAGCAACAAGTCCTCTTGTCACTCTACTCAAATTTGGAGGATACCCCTCTTCCCACATCATAGCTCACCATTTAGCAGGCTCCTGATTTTCTGTGTAGTATTTTCAGTGGACCGAAGGGACCATCATGGGATGCTCAAGTGGGAAGTCTGGTCCAAACAGAATGGTTGACCCAAGCTTATGTCTTGATTCATCCCAAGAGGAGCTTCAGTGGGTTGGTCCAAACAGCTCTGTGTAATGTTTTGTCTGGAGGAGGCCCCAGATTCAGTCCTGGCATCTCAAGCTAGAAGGATTGAGTAGTACATGATGTGAAAGACTGCTTTCTGAGGCAATCTGCAGGGCCACTACCAGTCAGGACAGACAATACTGGACTAGGTAAAGAAACAGTCCAAGTTGGTGTAAAGCAGTGTCTCAGGAGAACCCATAACTCAGTAATGGAGCCCCTGCCTTGCATGCTGGCATCCCTGGCATCTCTAGGTAGAGCTGGAAAAAACTGCGGGAAACCCTGGAGAACTACTGCCAGTGTGTGTCAACAATGCTGGGCTAGATGGGACAATACAAGGCAGCATCCTAAAGGTCCATCTAGTCCAGCATTCTGCTTCCAGCACAGGCAAGGGTCAAGTGTAGAACGAAAGCACATGCCCCCCACCCCTTCTTATGGTTCCTTATCCTTAAATTGGACTTGAACCAACCAGTCTTTCAAACAGAAGTCACCTTTAAAAAGAGGAGTGTCCTGTATAGAGTGGTGACCCACGACCACCCTCCCCCTAGGTGGCCTAGTTTGCCTATCCCAAGCACTGGCTACCCAACAGTTCACTCTGTTTCAGTTTGGGTACCCTGTTTGATTGACTGTTGATAGACTTACACTTTATGAAAAGCCATCTCTGAATGTAACTTTGGCTACAAGTTACATGCAGGAGTGTGCAGATTCAGGAGAGTCCGATGGTGCATACCTACTTCCAAAATAGGCTAATTTTCAAGAGATTGTATGTTTAATCCTTCCCCAGCCTGCCCCTTTTCTGCTGCAATTCCTCCCTCTCTGAACGATCCTCCACACGCACTGGGAAGACTTGGCAATGTCTACAAAACCTAGTTCCAAGGTGGTAGCCTTTATGCCGTGAACTCAGATGCTGAAGGACTACAACCCTCATCGCCCCTTATCCTTAGCTGGGCCGACTGGGCTGATGTTCAGTGCTGAACATTGCCACCCTGGCTTGCATCCCATCCTATCCTCCCCATCTCACCTGTTTCCCTTCATTTCTGTAATTATAGGTAGCACAGTCAAAACCAAAGCCATGCCAAGCACCGGATAGGCCAAAGCCTGTCGTGTGACATTTCTTGCCAAGGAATGAGCACAGAATCTGGTGGAACCTGTTGGCTAGTTGTGGAGCCAGAGTGGAATCTAAAAGGGTATGGGCAGAGCCTGACATGATCAGTGGCCAGAAAGCAAAACCTCTTTGCACAGGTCTGATCATGTTTGCTTTCTTTCCTGGTATTATTAATACCCACCTACTTGCCTGAGCATTGTTTTACCGGTCAAACCAGATCAATTGTCAGTGCTGCCATAGACCAGTTCACTTGGCCATCTGGATCCTGCAAAAAGTTGCTTAGGGCCAAGCTACGGGTGACCTCCCCCCCCCCCCGCTTCCTTTATAAAGTACAGTGCTTTTAAATGCAAATTGGAGCGCATATGTGTGCAGGCGTGAGTGTGCATGAGTGTGTCCTGTTAAGGAAATATTTTGAAACAGCTGGAGAGCAGGAAATTAACCCTTTCTTTCTGGCCAGAATCTTGAGGTAAATCCTTCTTCTGAAGTCAGCATTTGTACTTAGAGGACGCCCCCATTGGCATAAAATAGCAGCTCCTCAAAAGTGACGTTGGATTTCCTAAAAAGAGCTATAGCTTTGCTTGCTTCTTTGTAAGCCATCTTTAGACTTTAGGAAGTGGCTTGTAAAATACCTTGCATGAGTAAGCACACTGCTCTGTTAAGGAAACCCATGCATGGCAGCAGCTGGTACATTTTGTTTTCTTTTTGCAGTTAAGTAGGATATAATTTCTGCTTATCTATGTCTGCTTTTCAGTGATAGAGCCAAATGCTAGCCAGTCACCGGGCTGTCCTTATACTTCATGTTCTTCCCTGGCATCCCTTTATGCACCCTGTCATTGCTGTCCTGGGAAAGGATGACATTGTTGCAAAGATAATGTTTTCACAGTCTCAGGTGCCTAACAAAGGAAGACACTGATACTATGGTTCTGCTTTTGTTGTTCCTAAGGTCTACGGGCAACAATGCCAAGTTTTGCTGGCAGTGCCCTTCGTGGGAGCTTCTTCCTGATGCTTGGGCTGTGGTGGTCCATTAAGTACCCACTGAAGTACCTTCTTCGGAAGCTGAACACGAACAATCAGCCCAGCCAATTCATCCAGTGCATGGATATCACAGAAGGGACAGCCAAGGCGTTCTTCGCCCTAGGAGGTATCTTCTCACTCTGTCGTCACCAATGTCTTCTGCTAGGAAGATGCTTCCCAGCCAGAGAGAGGAATGAGCTACAGAGTTGCCCTCCCAGTTCCCTTCCAAACCTGCAACTGGAATACTGAAAATGCTGCCTATGCTGGACCTGAATATATCACAAAAATGCCATGAGCCGCCTTTGCGTCATTGCGAGGATGCTGAAATCCTGGGTTAGGCTGACTCTGCTGGAATTCTCGCCACTTGGAGAACAGGGTGTGAGATCAGGACAACACAAGCTCCGTTACACAACAGCAGTCAGCAGAATGAGCTCACTGTTGGTACCTTGAGTAGGATGCTTCCTCTCACAATGACGAGGTTCATGCGACACTCAAAGGCACCAGGGGGTGGCCTAGCATGTGCTGCAAACCCCTCGCCTTCCCCTGGGGTAGCTTATGAACCTGGCTGGCATGCAAATCTCCATCAAATCAAAAACAGGAGGGTCTCTGGGCAAGGGCAGCAAAGAAGTGTTGCTGCTTTTGCCAAAGGACTCTGGACATGCCCAACACACACACACAAGGCTTCATAAGCTCCACTCAGGGCTTGAGAGACGGGATGTACGCAGTGGCTGAAGGGCCGCTTGGCTTTCTTGCCCCTATAGACAAAAGGTAAAGGTTCCCACTAGTCATGTCCAACCCTGGGGCCAGTGCTTACTCTGTCTGTAAGCCAAAGAGCCAGCATTCTCCAAAGATGCTTCTGTGGTCATGCAACCAACTTGGCTAAATGCCGAGGCATGTGGAACACTGTTACCTTACCCACCAAACTGGTACCTGTTTATCTACCTGCATGTGCATGCTTTAGAATTGCTAGGTGGCAGCAGCAGGGACAAAGCAGTGGGGACTCACCCGTCACGCAGATTAGAACTGCTGCCCTTCCAACCAACAGCCCAGGGGCTCAGCTGTTTCACCTGCTGTGCCACCCAGAGGGAGCAAAGCCAGAAGAGCAGTCGCCTCCCACCAGCTCCCCGACTTAGGAAGTTTTCACTGCTCAGGTTGGGGAGGGGGCATCCTGCCGCTCAGTTCTGGGGACATGCTGAGCATCAACAGACCACCCTCCCGCCAACCCAACTAGCAAGAACTGCACAGGGGTGCAGGGCCTGCCCTGCCCTGCCCTGGCACAGCTCTCGCAGAGTACACCTTCCCTCCCTGCCACACGGCTGACCAGTGGAGGGGAGCAGTACAGGCTGCTTCCTGCTGGGTCCCCGGCATGCTCAACTCTCCCGCACATTCCAGGCACTCTGCACTGGAGCAGTGCTGCTCTCGCATCAGCAGCAGGAGCGGGGGCCTGGAAGCAGACCGCAGCTGGGGACATTGGGCTCTTCCAGCAGCTGTCCTCCCTGCCTGCTTCAGGGTTCTTGTGGAACCCCTGGAGATGCTGGGTGCAAGTCTGGGGGTGGGGTAGGCCCAACATCTGTAGGCCCAGGGTGACTGTACAGTATTGGAACCCACCCGGTGCATCTGATTGTGTGGCCAGTTACAGCTTTCCAGCAGGTGCTGGAAGGGGCAGAATGAGATGGGAGGAAAGAGAAGCCGGTGCATTCAAACCATGGGCATATTTATGTGTGGCTGTATTGAATCAAACGGCATCTGTCCTCCACTTCTACAGACCACAGGGAGGGCACTGAACCCTGGAGAATGACAACAGCCCTAGCAACCTGCAGGGGAAAAATCAGTGAGAGCTATTCCTCAAAGGACAAATAAAAGTGGAAGAGAGAATTGCTGGAGTGAGCAACAGACTTATTTAAATCCACCACATGGAGGAGAAAGAGCTGGCTGCAAAGCTAGGAAAGGATTAATGTAGGGCCTTAGAGTTAGGGTTTGGCATCACCTTTGCCTGCTTTCTTTGTAAAACAAAATGCCATTGAAACTAAGTAAGGATCCTGTTTAAAGTTTGCAGTTGTCTTCTGTCTCAATTGTAGTCAGATAAAAGTCACTCTGCAACAGAAATGGGACCCCTGATTTACCAAGAGCGGGGTCAAAAATAGGGGTTCATCTTAGCTGAATAGTTGGAGTGTATGCATTGCAAAATCTACCCCCAACCAGAAAAGTGCCAACAAAACAGTCTGATAAACACTACTTTTCTCTACCAGAAGTTTGGCTACATCAAAAGGGTAATTTTCAGTGTGAAACTACAGATTGGGCTCATCCTTATCTGTGTAACTTGCAACGTCATCCTCAGAATCCCAGTGAACACATTATTTGCTAAGATCTTTGACTCAGGATATAAAGTTCATACTGAGTCCTTAAACCATTGCACTTGCTGACCTCTCTGAATTACTATTTTTCTTTCTTTGCATGCAAGCATAGCTTTCTGCCTGCATATTTCTTCCAGTATTTTTTTCCTATTGGAGCAGTAGCAGTGGGGGAGGGGAGGTAGGAACAGACAGAAGAGTCTCTGAAATGCTTGCATCTTACAGGGATCCTGGCTGAGCAATTTGTTCCTCATGGACCCCACCTCTCTCTCTATGATGAAGAGACCAAAAGCTGGGTGCAGCTGATGAATTGGCAGCATATGACCATGTACCTGTTCTATGGCTTCTCTGGAGTGGTGGATGTTCTCATGTATACGCCGCTCAAGTTGCCAGTGGGACTGGATCGCCTCCTGGTGGCTCTGGCATTGTTTGCAGAAGGTTAGTGATAAATGGTGGCAACGGGCAAAGGATTGACCCCGAAGAGTAACGATGGAAAGCCGTAGATGCTGCCCCAAGGAAAGAAAATTTCTGTGCTTGTTCTCCAAACTTCCAGCTTTGAGGATGCTCCCTTGGCCACCCAGTGTTGCTTCCTGCTAGTTATATCTCAAAGGAGCTTAATTTTTGTCCTTCTAGAAGGGTGCTTAAAAAACAAAACTCAGTTCTATTTTTTTCTATCATTCAAGAGGCCGTTTAAAGATTGCCTATATGTAAGCCAATTAACACACATGATATACGTGCCATGAGATTGCAGCAATTCAAACTCCGCTCAGGATTCGCACTCGGGGAATGAGCTCATTGTTGCTATATAAACAAAATGGTTCATTTCACCGTGTGTCTGATGTCTTCCACTTTCCCCCGGAAGTGAAGGACGAGGCCTATCTTGAGCCCTTATTGGTTTGGAAGTTTCCCCATTTGCTATGACTGGTTCTCAAAAACTGACAGGTTTCCAGAGCAGGTCAAAATGCCTCCACTCAATGTCTTCTAAAAGCTTTAAGAACAAGGGACAGATTGCTGAGCAGGAAACAGGTTACTGATGATCTCTTCAAAGACCATGCCTACGCTTTCAAAGCCTGTGAAGTCAGTTCCAGGCTGCAGGGGTCAGATCATGCCAGTTTTGCATTATCAGATGCATACTTTTTTGAAAGAAGCCTCCAAAACAGCACCAACAAGTTATCCAGAAACCTTAATATGCACCCACAAACAAACAAACAAACAAACAAACGCCCAGATCAAGGGACCTCCATATTTTGTTCTAGGTTCTTTGGCAGTGTTAGCCATACTTCATCATTATGAAAAAAAATGCATGAGTCTTATCATGGGGGACTTTATACCCAAACTGCAGGAGAAATCAGCTTGAGCAAAACAAACACACCCCAAATATATTGATTTTGATTTTATTTTTGTTTTTGTTGCTTTGGAGGTGCACAAAGGTTAAGGGCATTTCAGAGAGCCACACACCAAGGGAGGGTGGCAATCTCTGCATCAGTGAGCTTCCTTCTCCATTGCAGCTTTGCTTTACAGTTTTATAGGAGCCATCCATGGTGCTTCATGGTGGTGGACCTATCCGGGAAATGGAGCCCCTGACACAGGAGCCTTCCCAGAAAAGCACAGACCTTCTCCCGTGAGCAAAATGTGCAAGCTCATGGGACCCTCCTTGCCTGGGGGCAACCTGAGGCAATTGCCTTGGTCAGTGGATGCTCGTGAGTGGGGGTAACAGCAATCCCTTCCTCAGCTGTTTCTCCTGAGACACCATCCCGGCATGGATGGAATTGCACAAGAAATGCCACACAGATAAATGCAGCGAAACTCTCTCTCTCTCTCTCTCTCTCTCTCTCTCTCTCTCTCTCTCTCTCTCTCTCACACACACACA